CAAACACGCCCTAAACACCTAGAAAAGAGCAAGACGAGAAAAAAATGAGAAAAAAAGAAGAACAAAAGCCTAAAACCATGAAAGTCCTACAGGAATAACTCACACTCGCATAGAAGAATCCTTTAAGAGTAACTCCATCTTCAAATTTTCAAGATTAGGAGTGGCCGGATTTTGCTTACGTCTGTTTCAAAAATTTTGACCGGTCAAGATATGCCGCATTCATTGATAGTTTATTGACCCATATGTTTACCAGAAATTCTGATATATTTACCCTTATTCACAATTTTTTCTTTTTGGTCGGTCACAATTATTGTCTTTTGAAACTCAATGAAAGTGGTTTATATTAGCCACTAAAATTTGACACACCCTACCGACCAAGTAATTTAGGTGCACATGTCGTTTTAAGCAATTTATTAAGTGTTACTAAGAGCAGGGCATACAATGAGTTATTGTCATCAAATTAAACACATAGTGGTGATAAATGTCCACAGTGGATAGGAGCTTCTAGACCTTAATAGGTGGTTTCGAAATGTTTTGTCATCAAACATATTGGTTTTCCACATTAATTATGATGAGATTGACTAGTATTTGAAATATCCAAGCTTTCGACTATTAGAATCATGTAAGTTTCTAAAGTGATCAACATTTCGACAATTGACACGTAAAAAGAATATATATTCTGATTATGATTTTATTTTGCTTGTATTTGTTTTTGTTTTCATTTTTCTTTTTTTTTTTCTTTTTTTTTTCAATATTCGAAGAGTAAATTCGATATACAAGATTAAAGATCTATCGGAATTAAAAAGAACAAGTAGACGAACCAATACAATGATGTATGGTGAAGTTGTGTGAATTTTTCTATTATAACGCTCGTTTTCGTAAATAAAGTTTTGAGAATTTTTCTAACTAAATTTAATTGTTAAAGCCTTGATTCGTTTTCCTAAGTGGAAAACAAAAATTAAAATTGAATATAAAATGGTAGATATTTTAAATATAAGTATTGTAAATGTAAATGTATTGGACACTTAACATCACAAGTCCCAGGGTGGGGTTCCTCTAACTGAAAACTGATTATATGAATCCCAACCGCCCAAATAAATAAGGATGGAATATATCGTTTGTCCATTTTAATTTTCATCTTTATTTGTACTAGTATGTGGCCCGTGCGATGCATGGGTAAATAATATTAAATAATATGTATAATATGTATTTGTTTAGAATTTTGAGTGTCACTTTGAGATTTTTTAAGATTTGAGACTTTTTAAGATTTGAGACTTTTAAGATGATCAAATTTTAGAGGAATACTATGAAATTTTAAGTGTGAATGTGAAATTTAGAGTGAAATTTTGTATAATTTTTTTTTTTAAATCATAACTAATCTTAAAAAGACTTAACAAATCTTGATCTCAAATAAGTTAAATATTTAAGAATATTTTAAGATTTTTTTAATATTTATATATCAAAGATGAACAACTTTTGTTACCAAAAAATGTGGACACAATTTTGAATTTACATCCCGTCCAAATATCAGTTTTATTCTAAAATAAAAATTGCACGTGGTTTTATCCAATTTACTCATTTTTTTTCTTAAAGAAAAAAATTATTCAATAAGATTGGAAGAATTGGTTAAGAATTATACAATTATTTGTTTCCAAAATTTGTATCCAATTTGTACGGTTTTTAAGTTAATTTGTATTTAGAATTTTTTTTATAAATAATTGACACATTTTTTGCATAAAAATCTCCAAATTTGTAACCAAAAAATATATGATTTAAATATTAGTAAAAAAAATAAAATATAATACGAAAAAAATAGAATTCAAATTTTGCCATAAGAATCTCCAAATTAGTTACCAAAAAAATAGGATTCAAATTTTGTAATAAAGATTCACATGTATTTTTTTGAACTTTCCATTAATAGTAAGTCAAAATATTATTTTTTAGGTCAACCTTACTATTTTTGTATTTTTCCAACAATCTTTTTATATTACTATAGATACCACAAATTAAAGGCCTGTTTGATCCTGTTTTTATCCGAATACTTTGGTAGAAGGTGGACCTTCACAATTGTAAGTAGAGTTTGCTTTATAATGTAAGAAATAGATACTAGGATTAACATACATAATTAGCCTATTATTCCACTCAATAACCATGGAATGTCCAAATATTTATTACACGGAAAATAAACCTACAAGCACTGACTCCCAATTTGAAATAACACATATATTTTCATTAAAATAAAAAAAAATGTTGGGTCTAATATCCGGGAATTATGTACTTTTCTGTAATTTCATGTCCAATGACAAGTGCCGAACCCAGTGTGGTAAAATTAGGTTTATTAATCTCGCATTTTTTAAATATTTTTTGAGATATTAAGAATATTGGAATATTATATTTGGACTTTTAGAAAAAGTTGAAAATATTCATTTAAAATTTTCATAGGTTTTAAAGAAATGAGTTATTCAATTTAGTAATCACTTGGATTTATCTGATCAACTTTTAAGATTTATTGGATTTCAGCCAAAATATAAATATAAAATCTTACAGAAAAAATTTCACCATCAAACATAATACTTAAAGAATTAAAGTCATATAATTATTTTAAGAAAAAAGTCTTGAATTTCAAAAAATTTTAACATGTCACTCCAAAATAACTTATAACGATTATAGAAGTATAAAGTTATAACATAATTATGATTCCAATTAAACAGTAATAAAATGAAGATAAAATCCACAACTGGCTAATTAGAAAATAATAATAAAAGACTATGTTTGGTAAATCTAATTGATAAGCTAGCTTACACTAGCTTTTAAGTGAATTTCGAGCTTATAACTGATAGCTTATGACTTATAGCTGAAAAGCTAGCTTGTATGATAAGAGTCTTTAGTAAAATTAAGTGATAAGCTAGCTGAAATAAAAATTTCAATGAGCTTATTTAAAACTACCCAAACTTTTTTTTTTTTTTAATAAAAGTTTATTCTACCAAAACAAACTTATTTGAATACGTGAAACTTATAAGTTAACCAAATAAACTAGTATAAATTAGCTTATATGTTTACCAAACACATTCTTATTAATAAACCCTCAAGGGCATTCACTTAAAAAAATGATAATTCTGATTAATCAAGTAATTAATAATTTTCAAACTCCTATTACACCGCAAAACAACATATAATGATTGGAAATTTTCCATCACCAACTCTTTTTTATGTTTGGTCGACATTATTTTCAAGTGACTCTCCACGACAAATTGAATGGATGCGAGTATACTGACAAGAACGAAACAGAAGAGAAAGAATGATTTGCGACATCTAATCTGCCGTCTTGCGGCTCGCCCTTCTCATATATATATAAATGTACAATTAGGTTTTACAATAGCTTGGTCCTTAAGAAACTAAGATAATAAGGGTACAATAGAAAATATCTAATGCTAAATACTAAATACATCAACACCCCCCCTCAAGTTGGAGCATGGGGATTCCGAATGCCCAACTTGCTAAGGAAAAAGTCGAACTCGCGCTTTCCAAGTGCCTTAGTAAAAAGATCAGCCAACTGTGAACGAGTGTGAACATAAGATGTCGAAACAAGGCCTTGAACAAGGGCATCGCGAACAAAATGGCAATCCACCTCAATGTGTTTAGTCCGTTCATGAAAAACTGGATTAGCGGCAATATGCAATGCCGCCTGACTATCACAATAGAGACGCATGGGCTGCGAATGGGGCACACCAAGGCTGTGCAGCAAACCTTTTAACCACTTAAGCTCACAAATAACAGTAGCCATAGCCCGATACTCAGCCTCTGCAGAAGAACGTGCCACAGTGTGCTGTTTCTTGGTACGCCAAGAAATCGGAGACTGGCCCAACTGAACAAACCAACCACTAAGAGACCGACGAGTAAGAGGACATGCAGCCCAGTCAGAATCACACCACCCAGAGAGTTGAAGATCAGAGTCAGAGCGAAGCAGAATACCTTGCCCAGGGGAGCCCTTCAGGTATCGAACAACTCGCAACGCAGCCTCCCAATGTGATCGCCGAGGTTGATGCATAAACTGAGCAAGAACATGCACTGAGTAAGATATCTCGGGACGTGTAACAGCCAAATAAATTAAACGACCAACCAGGCGCCGATATGCTTCCGAGTCATCGAAGAAGGGGCTAACATCGTCAAGAAGACGATGATTCTGTTCCAGCGGAAACTCTACCGGCTTAGCTCCCAATAAACCAACCTCGGAAATGATGTCCAAAGCATATTTTCGCTGGCACAAAAAAATGCCAGAAGTGTTGCGAGCTACCTCAATCCCCAAAAAATATTTCAAGAAACCCAAATCCTTCATGTGAAAGCAGCGACTCAAGTAGCTCTTAAAGGCCCCAATGGACACAGGATCATTGCCAGAGACAAGAAGGTCATCAACATACACCAACACCTGCAGGTGGACAGACCCACGATGCAAGGTAAATAAAGAGTAATCAGAGTGTGATTGAGAGAAACCATACTGACTAAGAGAAGTAGCCAGCTTCGCAAACCAGCACCGAGGAGCCTGCTTTAATCCATAGAGAGAGCGACGCAAACGACATACACGTCCATCATCACCAGTCCGAAAGCCAGGAGGAAGCTTCATGTAGACCTCCTCATCCAAGTCACCATGAAGAAAGGCATTGTGGACATCCATTTGATGGACTTCCCACTTACGAGCGGAAGCAACAGCTAAGAAAGTCCGTACTGTCACCATTTTAGCAACAGGGGCAAAAGTCTCATGATAATCAATCCCTTCGACTTGATTGTTACCTAGAATCACCAGTCGCGCTTTATAGCGCTCAACAGCGCCGTCTGAACGATATTTAATCTTGTAAATCCATTTACAACCGATAGCACGTTTCCCAGGAGGAAGAGAAACCACCTCCCAAGTGCCATTATTCTCGAGAGCCTGGATTTCATTCTGCATGGCTCCTCGCCATCGACTATCAGTGGCTGCCTCAGCAAATGTACGAGGCTCGACAGCAGAAGAAAGAGCTGCCAAAAATGACTTGTGGACCGATGAGAAAGAATCACAACTAACATAATGTGCGATAGGATAAGGCGTACCTGAAGAAGGTGAGGAAGTAGGCAGAGCAGCAGAGGGACCAGGGGGACAGACAGTAGCAGTAACAAAATCACGGAGGCGGCTCGAGGGATAGCGGGTGCGATGACCACGACCCAACACATTGTCGGGATCAGCAGCAACCGAAGGACCCCCCCTGTCATCAAAAGTGCCGGAAGGGAGTGATGGATCAGTCACAGCCGCAGGTGGCACTACAATCGAATGATCATCATCTGGATCCGACATAGGAGGCCAAGTCACAACAGGAGGGACCGAAGTGGGTAAAGAGGCCGGAGGAGACTCCTCATAGGGAAAGTCAGTCTCAACGAAGTCAATGTCACGAGAAACTAAGAAAATTTTTCGATCCAAATCATAGACCCGCCAGCCTTTCTGCCCAAGAGGATAGCCCACGAACACACCTTTATGACTGCGACTAGCAAATTTGTCGCCACGACGGTCCCGGTTATACACATAACACAAACACCCAAAGACACGTAACCGAGAATAATCAGGCAACTTTCCATAGAGCATCTCATACGGGGTTTTGTTACCCAAAACACGCGTGGGAGTTCGATTAATCAAATGAGCAGCAGTAAGAACACAATAGCCCCAAAATTTAAGAGGCAGATGGGCTTGAAATCGCAACGCACGAGCCACATTAAGAATATGTTGATGTTTCCGTTCAACACGGCCATTCTGCTGAGGGGTACCAACACAAGAGGTCTCATGCAAAATACCTTCACGATGAAAATAATCAGTCATACTCATAAACTCAGTGCCATTGTCACTGCGAACCACACGCACCAATGTGTCAAATTGACGCTTAACCATAGCAAAAAAATTCATTAAGACCGAAGACACTTCTGTTTTATCACCAAGTAGATAAATCCAAACACAACGAGAATAATCATCAACAACGGTCAAGAAATAACGAGATCCACAAAAGGTAGGAACCCGATAGGGCCCCCACAAGTCACAATGTACCAAATGAAAAATACCACTACTGACAGTATGACTAAGAGAAAAACTGTCCTTTGTCTGTTTGGCCCGAAAGCAAACATCACATGACTTATTCGAAACAGAAGACTGAGAATCAATAAAAGACAAATGTGACAAAACACGATCCGATGGATGTCCCAACCGTTGATGCCATAAATCAGAAGAAACTTTCACTACTCGAGAAGACGCAACTGATACTGTCCCCCGGAAAAAATAGAGTCCCCCTATCTGCTCACCCGCTCCAGTCACCATCTTCGAAGTGCAATCCTGAACGACACAGAACTTGTTAGTAAAATGTGCGGTACAGCCAGACTTATCCAACAACTGGAACAAAGATATCAAACTACACTGTAAGCTGGGTACAAATAAGACATCATGTAAAACAATAGAGGACCCCAAATAAACAGTGCCCAATTTACTGGCTGATGTCAAGGATCCATTGGGTAACTGAACAGGACGAGCAGGTATGTCACGAACATCACACAAAAATTCTAAGAAACCGGTCATATGGTGAGAAGCACCACAATCATACATCCAATCATATAAACTTCGCTTACCAGATGACGACTTACTGTCCTGTTTAGCAGAGTTAACCAAATGAACAAGCTGAGTCCACTGTTCATCAGTCAATCCACTGATAACACGATCGGAGGAGCTAAGTCCGGCATTTGAGGAGGTCCCAACTTGCATGGCGGTGGCGGCAACGTTTGCTTGGGCAGGAGCACCCCCGCCACGACCGCCGCGGCCGCGCCTACCACCTCTGCGGCCAGCACCACCACGGGGGTACCAGTCGGGATAACCGAGAACCTCAAAACAGCTGGCCGCGAGATGTCCGCTTTTCCCGCAGTTGTAACAGACACGCTGCCGACCTCCGCCGCTGTTTGGAACACCGCCGCTGCCAGGGTGATCGGGCTTTGAGCCAGACATCTGTGGTGAGAAGCCCGCCACATGAGAAGAGACGTGACTGTCACGCCCTCCACCTGTGTGTCCGTCACCAATCCGCATGTTATAGACAATATCCTGTCCGCGAGAAAGAGCGGATTGACCTGTGCGGATGGCAAAACCAGCAGCCGATTCTATGGTATCGTCGACGAGGGAGATGGTTCGCATCCTCTCTTCCTGGATGCAAGTAGAATAAACTCGATTTAATGTCGGGAGCGGTTCCTGGGCCAGTAAATTCGAACGAGTAGCGCCATAGAGGGTTGCGTCTAGTCCTTTTAGAAATTGATGAACTTTTTCACTTTCATATTTACGATCCCATTCGGCTTTCAAATTGCACTCACAAAGACCACAACGACACATGGGGGGTTTCTCATAATCAGCTAATTCTTCCCAAAGTTTGGTGATCTTACCGTAGTATGCTTCAATACTCAAACCCTTCTGCTTACAAGCCGCCAGATCCGATTTGAGTTGTTGAATGCGAGGACCGTTCTTCATTGTAAATCGTTCCTTCAAAGAGCACCATAAATCTGCCGCAAGTTCCGGCTCCACCACAGACGATCGGAGCGTGGCATCAATACTGTTCATAAGCCAGGATAGCAAGAGGGCATTGTTGGCTTGCCAATCTTCAAACAAATCGGAGTCAAGGGCTGGTCGCACGATCGAACCATCTAAAAATCCAAACTTCTTGCGTGCACGAAGAGCGGTGCGGATGCTACGGGACCATTCTTCATAATTGTTGTCTCCCTTTAATTGAACTTGAGTGATCAAAAGGCCCGGATTGTCGCTCGAAGTGATGTCGTATGGAGAGATCGTTTTTCTGAGAATAGCAGCCGAGCCTGAGCCTGAGCCTTCACCGGACATGGCGATGTCAGTAGAGAGGAGAACTGACGAGAAGAAAAAAAAAATATTATCCTGCTCTAGAACGAAAAAAAATATGAGCCTTCACCGGACATGGCCATGTCAGTAGAGAGGAGAACTAACGAAAAAAATATTGTCTCTGATACCATGACAAGAACGAAACAGAAGAGAAAGAATGATTTGCGACATCTAATCTGCCGTCTTGCGGCTCGCCCTTCTCATATATATATAAATGTACAATTAGGTTTTACAATAGCTTGGTCCTTAAGAAACTAAGATAATAAGGGTACAATAGAAAATATCTAATGCTAAATACTAAATACATCAACATATACCTATGGGGGGACATGTATCATTAATATTTGAGAAGCATACAAACACCAAGTCTTGGATTTATCTTAAAAGTGCACTAATTCTTACATAAATACTGTATGCTCATATTAATTATTGATTTTTATTAATTATGAGGAAAGTCATTTAAGGGACAAAAAAAGAAAAAAAAAATAAAACTTCACCAAACATTAAAAATAAAATAAATAAAAAGGTAAAAAGCGTCAAAAGCTAACATTTAATTTTGTACATAACTGGCAAGTTACAGAATACAATTATACAAAGCATGGCACCAAACTTCGTAACTTTGATATTATATGTTATTGAATTTTGTTGACCACTACCAGTTGATGATTTTCAGCCTCACTAAGCCTAATCTCCTTCTTCATCCTCCTTATGAAATCCTCGAACTTCTGATTCAATTCTTCTGCACTCAAAACATCATCATCATCATCATCATCTTCTTGATCTTCATTGTCATCATTGTAAAAAAGACAGCATCTCTCAGTGAACCCACTTTCGTCATTTTCGATTAAGTCTTCTCTTTTAGCTTCTTCTTCTTCTTCTTCTTCTTCATCACTATCTGCAATAAAAATCGAAACTTGGGTCGGGCAAGCGAGTTCTTTCCCCCCATCATTTTCTTCAATAATATAATTCTCCTCTTCAATATTAGTTTCGATTTCTTTTGCCCGACTTTCGTACACTATCATGTCTTTGTCCAAAACGGGCAAAAGCTCGGGCTCTATTCTGATGACGTCATCATCTCCCTCGTGAGGAGAACAAGTGATGACAGCAGAGGCTGACGTTTTGGCCACGAGGAAAAAGAGCGTATTGCAAATGAGGAAAACGCAGTTTTTGCTGGTGGCAATAAGGCTCAAAATCTGGAGTGTGTTTGGAGAAATAAAATTGTAATGAAGATTTTGGGAGTATAATAAGAAAGGTGACGAGAAGAGAGATGAGCAAGAAAACAGCAAGGAGAATACTGAAAGGGATAGTAGGAATAATTGGGTGACCATTTTCTTGGATAGATTAATCTCATGAATCATTAGACCTTCCATTNGGTTGGAAGTTGGTAATAAGAAAAATGAAATGGGAAGATTTGGGTAGATAAATATATAGCCATAATAATTAAATGGTGCGTGTGATGACATGGCAGCTGCTAGTTAGAACAACATTAATATTAGGATTTATGTATTTGATTACGTGTTGGATTATTGGTATTTGTCTATTTGATACACATAGTATTCATTTTTTATTTTATTTTATTTTTTTTTTGTTGGAAGAATTTACAAGGAGCTAGCATGTGGGTTAAGTAGTACCATTAATCATTACAAAAATGTTGTGTTTGTTGATATAAGATTTAAATCATGCCACCTCCTAATATTATATTTATTTGATATTCTTACATGTCACTCCTCCCTAAATTTTACGTGTGATGTGTGGGCGACATGGATCTGAGGTGAATATGTTATTTTATGCGTTATAAAATAGTTGTCATTTTAAATTGTGTTTATAATTGAAGATAATGAAAAGTTAACATATTCAAATATTAATAAATAATACTTATAAAATACTTCTCCTTCTCTCTCGTTTTTCTTATTTATACATTGTTACAATATATTATTTTGATTTCTAAATAAGTTATGCTAAAAAAATAGTGGCAAATATTATAATCGACACTTAATTGAAAAAAAATTTGTAATATATACTATTTGAGATAAAAAAATCATTAATTTTTAATTACAGATAAAAAAATCATTAATTTTTAATTACATCAAAATTATTTTTTTTATAATTTATAATAATATAAATATTTTAATTTTTTTACAATCTATTAATTTAAATGAGATTTGTTATGATATTGTGAATCGCAATATGAATTTTTAAAAAAACTTGTTTGGTGTAGTTATTGATATAATCAAAGAATATTTTTGAGCTCCTTGAATAAATGATTTTTGGTATGTGGCTCGTTACGAAATGAATAGAAAATCATAGGGATTTGTTATTAATGATGAGATATCAATTTTATTATAGTATTATGGTAGTTAAATCAATATGATTTTTACAATTGATTATTTGTACTTATATTTTGCAATGTTCTCAAACATGTTTGATCTACATATGGTTGGATACCCAGCAAAATAGGAGAACACATGATTTGTTATTAAGAGTGAAGATTGGTTTGTTATTAAAGAAAAATAGTTAAATTAATTGCTTTTGATATTTTGAAAAATTAAGTTTATACTTTTTTAAAAACTGGAACGGTTGAGTTACTGATAAATCAAAAGATTCTAAACTAATTCTCTCGATTAAATGATTTTTGAAGATATGATAAAAAAAATTTTAGTATATAACTAGTTACCAAATGAATAAGAAATCACCGTAATTTGTTATTAATGTTGATAAATACGATTCAATAGTAACATTGTTATAAATACTGTAATAAAATTTTCATAATTGACTTTTAATTTTTATTTTGTATTATATTTGCAATCTTATCGTGTATATTCAAATAATATTTTTTAAAAATGAAATATATTTAATAAACGTTTTCGGGTGACATGTAGTATACTTAGTTAGCAAACGAATAAGAAATTGCAGTGATTCATAATTAATATCACTTTATTTATATAGAAAGTCGTGCTATTAATCGGATTGCACGATTTACAACAAGTAATGGTAATTTAATTTTTATTTCATTTAATAAATATTAAAGCAATTTTTGTTTTATTTCCTTTAATAGTAAGTCAACCTATTAAATTACAAAGTCAAAGTTATTATTTTAAATTATTCCATCAACATCTTTCAATATATATAGTATTTTAGTTTGGTAGGTGATTTTTAATTTTTATTACATTTTCCTTTTCTTAGTGAGTAAGTTAAGTATTTTAGAAATTTTGAACTCTATATATTTGTCTGCTAAAGCCAGAGGCTGATCAGTCAAGTTTTTGAATATATCATAAATTGATCTCGTTCCCCTTTCGTTCACGCTCGCTGCATCACCTGGCCGCTCTTTTCTCGAGTTTGTAGGCCTAATAGTAGAAGACTTTTCCCAGTATCCATTTTTGTCCGGCCTTAATGGATTGATTCAGTGTCCATATAAATTTTGAGTAATGCTATAGGTACATAATAATGTACATAGAGGTGTAAATAACACTTACATTGAGTGAATCTTACTAAAAATAAAAAATTAAGTAGACCCTACTCCATGTGAGTTATGTACACCTCTATGTACATTTGTTATTTACTTGTAGCATTTTTCATGTACAACACAGTTTGCAACGAATTCTTTTACACTAATAATTATTTATTTTTTTATATTATTGAATTTAATTTTTTGTTATAATTAAATTTATCTCTCCCATGTGCAGCATACAGCACGAGTAAGGAAGTGCAAGTCCTAGTTATAACTCTATAAAAAATTAATGAGGGGCGGCTATATTGGATTCTCCCTCTACGGAAATCCGAAGTAGGGCCGGAGATGGATTATTATTAAAAATAGCGGTCAATCGTTCTAATTTCTGGAAACAAATCCTACATTCGCGATCCTTCAGCACAGTCAAATTGGCGAAGTTATCCTCAATTCATGGCCAATAATAATTCACCGGCAACATTTACAAGAAGATTGCTACTTTCTAAGACCAAAGATATAGAAAAACGAAGGCAAAGAACAGGCAGAGAGAGAGAGAGATGGCAGAAATGGAAGACGAAGTGATCGCCAATAACAAGCAGGTGATATTGAAAGACTACGTGAAGGGTTTTCCACAGGAATCCGACTTGCCGTTGGTAAGCTCCACCGTGAAGCTCAAAATCCCCGGCGACTGCCACGACGCCGTACTGGTCAGGAACCTCTACTTGTCCTGCGACCCTTACATGCGTAACCTTATGAACATGATCGAATCGGACGACCCAAACATGTACTCCCCCGGCTCTGTAAGTTACTTATCTCCACTAATATATTATGGGGTTTCCTCTTTGCTTTTCGATTTTACATCCTAGGTACTTGTTCCTTAGTTAATGGCTTAAGGCTTATCTGTGGGAAATGGAGCTGATTATATATATTTGTGTAATTCTAGGGCGACTGGTGAAAAAGAAGGTTTCTTAATGTAATTGGGTTTGGAAATTCATAG